TAAACAGCTTGCTTTCTCATAAACCAAATTCTTTGTTGGAGAGGTGTCACTGGCGCAAATTTAACCTCTTTGGCTTATTAACGACTTTCACCAGCATATCGACAATACCTTTCTTCTAGTGCATCTAACAGGGATGTCATGTCAACGCTCCATAACCCAAGGCATAGTATTATGAATGAATATGCTCGCTCAACTGACACCCTCCTCCCAATCAAGTGAAAGGTACAAAAAGAACCTAGAAACAGGCCATGCACCCAGTGATACTATCTAAACTACGCCTCTGCCAACAGTCCCCGTATGTCTGATATTATTCTAACATGAGCCCGTTTCTGGAAATCGTCCTGGTTTTTTATCATTACGGACTTGAAAGTTTTCAACAATCTTTCCAAGCTGAGATATTGTATTTTGAAGTGTTTATTATTGAATAATAGGTTAACAAGTAAAACCTTTTCAAAACTAAAGAAACTGAGAATTTCTTATGCACTGAGAGGTGGTAGCAGTGATGAGTCACTGCGCTGTGCGTGTGGGGTTTTTTTAAAGCCACATCGTTGATGTTTTTGTGAAGAGAACATATCGGAAATACTAATGACAGCAATGGCTATCGACAACGGGGAGAAATGCTTATTGAATTTCGTGGTGTAAACAAAATCGGCCTTGTGTGTGTGTGTGGGGGGGGGGGGGGGGGGGGGGGGGTTCCAACGTATCTTTGCCCTTTCACTAGAGCAAGGTAATCATTGAAAGGTAGGCCTCACATTTTTTAATTTCACTTTAGGATATATTTATAATGTAGGCTATGTTTTCACAAAGAGAAAAACCGAACTGATGAAGAAGACAGAAAACAGGAAGGGATGGGGCACCATGTCTCCTCCAGAATTGACACCTAATGAAGAAGAAAAAGTAAAAGTAGACAGTAGATGGTAATCTCCAAGATAGGAGGTTTGTTTGTTTGTTTTAGTAGAGGTTTTACGGCGCTCGCAACTGCATAAGGTCATATGAGCGCCAGAAGATTAGAGGTGTTACAAGAGAGTAACAAACATAAAAAAGAAGAAGGGGAGATAAGGACGACAGATGTTTGATAGGAAAGAAGAAGCAAACCACACCAGAGCACCCGTCAACAACCCACATCGGTGGTTTGAGGTCCAGCCCTTTTTATGTGTTCCTTAGAAAGCTCGAACCCATTCACGTTACAAACAAATAACAGAATAATTGACGTCACAGGTGTAAATAACATAATCTTGTTTTTGTAATCAAAGTGCGAAACAAACCTGGTGCATTTTCTTAGATACGTGACGTGTTCCCTTTATAAGCTCAGTCAACGAAAAAGGAGGACCGTTTCGTCCCAAACCCTCTGTTTATGTGAACTCAATTTTCTGCGGTTTGAATCTCACTGTCAGGTCTTTTGTTTGTAATGCTCTTTTCGTGAAGACTGCTTCGCCTGCCCACCATGTGTCTCAGTCAATACCCCCTGACTTCTCATGATAAAGCATGAATGCGGCATGAATGCAATTCAAACAAACGTCTTCTCAACAATCAAAAGACACGTTTATGAATACTTATGCAAACTTTGGGTGTAATACCTTGTCGCCAGCAGTAGGCGATTTTTCTCGTCTCTCTCTCTCTCTCTCCCCCCCCCCCTCTCTCTCTCTCTCTCTCTCTCTCTCTCTCTCTCTCTCTCTCTCTCTGTCACTCTATCTGTGTACTTGTGTAAATGTGTGTGTGTGTGTGTGTGTGTGTGTGTGTGTGTGTGTGTGTGCGTGCGTGTGTGTGTGTGTGTATGTGCGTGCCTCTGTGTGTGTGTGTGTGTGTGTGTGTGTGTGTATGTGTGTGTTAGTTTGTTTATGTTTTGGGGTATGTGTGTCGTTTTTTATTGTAGTTGTTAATTTTATCTTTTTGCGGGTGTGAGTGGGATTTGGGGGGGGGGAGATGCGGGATGACTACGTGCAAGAGAAAACAATATATTGTTGCAGAAATAAAAATAATAAAACCCGAGAGCTATTTGTTTAACGATTTTCACTCAAATGATGTATGAAGCGAATAACAAGAAAGCTGTGAGATTCAGAATTAAGATGGACCAAAAGTAAAATGTTGTTTAAAAATACACAGACTTTTGCAAAGCTCTAAAATACCAACCTTTTTTCCCACTCTAATAACCTGTCTAGTGTTAACTATTCCAATAAGAATATAAAGGTTTTCCAAATTCAGGCTATAATATCATAATATATCCGTCAGTTCATTTCAGGTTCATGAACACTATAAAATATATAATGACAAGACGGAGAACTTTCAGCTTTTCACCATATTCAAAATGGATCGAAACATGCCGTATTTATGCAGTATGAGCTGTTCAAATGAGCAAACTTGAGCACAATGCATAAGTTAAAGCTTGCCATCTTGCTACCTGTTACGTCAAAGAGCCTTAAGTATTAAGTCTACTCGATGTGACACAAAGCGCAGCCAGCTCCCCCACTTTAAAACTTCACTTTTGCGCATTTAAATGGGTTGGGCAGAATTGCCTCTGTTTGGGCTGAGTAAAGCTAAATGGATACCTGAGCCCAAATGACGTAGTTGCCGATGAGCCTATATAAAAGGTTGTACTTAGTCTATCCTCTCCAGCACTTTCAAACGGAAAGGTAAGTTAAACCATCTCTAGGGCCATCTTGTAAGAGCTGCACAAAACAGCAAGCACCTCGTTGTGATCGTAATTATGTTTCTCTTGTGGCAAAGCGGCTTTCTTGAAGTACAGTATTTACGCGCCTTGAAACAATTAATATTTTTTGGAAGCGGGCTGATTCCACGCTGTCTGCGAGGGAAAACCGATACCTCGATACTGATACATTTATCAAATAGGAATCGAAGTCCGATGTTCTGAGCCCTATTCATTACACTATACACGAGAGTGTAAGGACTGTGCCAAACCGAAGAGAAATAAAACGTCGTTACTTGTTTAGTATTTCCATCATGAGGAATTGCCTTTTTAAGATTTACCCCAATTTAAAACGTTTAAAGTCTGCCTTATTAATCAAATACGAACAGATTTATGGGGATTGCAAAATATTTTATGTGGCAGATCAATAGAAAAGAAGTCATTCAGATACAATAGTTCGTCTATTCAGAATGACCCCAATACGAGTCAAATCACAGGGAACTGTAGGTCTAAATTGCACACCGGCCTATGTTATAATATATAAAATGAATCTCTGAAAATCGTTTTGCTTTTTAAGTAAAAACTCATTTGTTTAAAGCATACAGTATTTGAGAACCTTGAGAAATATTTGCAGTCCACAAGGGGACAGATGAGTAGAGTCCAAACTTTCCTTTTTTTTCCCTCTTCACTAACAAGTGCTCTTCTGAAAAATCTTCTTAGCCTCTGTCTGTATTTGTCTATTGATTGTTTATTGATTCTATTCTCAAGCTGAACAGGACATGGAACGAGATATTTGATAAATGATGTTTAAAATGTCTCCTTTAGATTGCAATTTACATTGACTGAAATATGTAATCTCTTACTTTGGTTATGCTTACTCTGCCCCCCCCCCCAATATGTTAGTACACACTTGGGAAAGCACATTATTTAATAATGTATTCTTGAAAAATGTCTTTTTTTTTCAAAGGAATGAAAATCAACTGTCTTTAAAAAACAAACATTTTGAAAAGAAACCTCTACTTAAATGATGTTTAGACTTACGGTGTGAAAGTTATATTTGGTTTGGTAAGAGTTTAAAAGCGCTCGCAACTGCATACGTTAATATAAGCGCACGGGACTCAAGTTGATTGTTTACACCTTACTTTATAGCACGGCGTAGTTTCACTTCGAGAGTCAAAAAGGTTGAAGAATCGACTCATACAATTGTAATTGTAAATTTAATTCGTATGCAAACAATGTTGCAGTCTATTAATGCTAGGGGACAAGAATGCAGCTAAGGCTTCCAGCAACTATTTTCAATACTTTGGTCACATTGTGCTTCGGGTAGAAAAGGATCAGGGGGAAAAGGGAAGGGGGGGGGGGCGATGAGAGTAGGAATATTATATTATAAGGCTGATGCATTAGAATTCTCAGGATTTTTTTCCGGCTATTTAATAACTTGTTATTTCCTGTTCCTTTACAATTTTAGTTTCATTCATATGGTAGATAGTGTTTTGTTTACTTGCCTAGGCTAATAAAAAGAATAGATTATTTTTTAAAACCCCGAACCACTAGTTATTTGTAATGTTATCCATAATTTACCTCTCACCCTAAATCAAAACAACAGCAAAGAAACACACACCCACATATGCATTTACTATAGTGGGATGAGGGAGGTAATTGGGCTGACGAAGAACCGACCTAGTGCTTTTAAAAGTTGATTCACTTCAGTAAAAAGCATGACAGATTTACGAAGCAAAAATAACAGCACTAAAACAATAATTACACACAATCCTCCTCCTCCTCCCCATTTTTCTCCTCGTCTTCCTCGTCCTCTTACTCTTCATCATCACCATCATCATCATCATCATCATCATCATCATCATCATCATCATCATCATCATCATCATCATCATCATCATCATCATCATCATCATCATGAACAACAACAACAACAACAACAACAACAACAACAACAACAACAACAACAACAACAACAACAACAACAAAAACAGTAGCTCCTCCTCCTCTTTCTGCTACTACTACTACTACTACTACTACTACTACTACTACTACTACTACTACTACTACTACTACTACTACTACTACTACTACTACTACTACTACTACTACTACTACTACCAAGCCACAACATTCACTTGTTGCACTTAACAATTACGAGGTAAGATCACGACATCCACCGGTGCTTAAGATGCTCGTTAACAACATTGTTTTATTGTTGTTACAATGTTTACACATTTTGAGAAAGAAGTATAAGTAACTGCAATAATTTTGATGCCTTTTCTCACTGTTATCATTTTAAAAATAATATAGTTTCGAAAGAGACAAGTGAAAGCATATGATATTATACATTTGGCTTTCATCTTTTATTTTCTAAGCAGATCATTGACCCAAACATTCACCATGGCTTGCTCCCTCTATGTCATCGCTTTTGTCGGCCTTTTGGCGTTCACTGCTGCTGAAGGTAAAAACCTTTTTATTTTTTAATTTTATTTTTTCAAAATAGAAGTTAAACAACGAGGATGGTGATTATGATGATAATGATGTTGATGATGATGCATAATATAAATGCGCAAACGTGTGCTTGTCAGCGTGTGCGTGTGTGTGAATGTATGTGTGTGTGTATGTGTGTGTGTGTGTGTGTGTGTGTGTGTGTGTGTGTGTGTGTGTGTGTGTGTGTGTGTGTGTGTGCGTGTGCGTTTGTGTGAACGTGTGTGTGTGTTTACTTGTCGGACTCGGACATGTGGGTGAGTTGAAACAAGGGCATCATACATTTTTTAAAGAATAGAGGAATAGAGTATTTTTCGTTGTGTATCTGGCTCTGATGGTGGTTGTGGTTTGGACTGCATTCAGGGCTGAGCATACTAGGGTCGTTCAAAAAGTTTTGCCTCCTCTCCAGTAATTTCTAAACTATTCAAGATACTTTCATGGAATTTGTACACAATTTACTTTCAATATGTATACTCTCCAACCCCAAAAAACAGAATTATGCTTTCATGTCACACTTTTATGCTACAGCTGTTTACGTAATCACACCGTGGAAGGTAAAGTAAATTGTCGCCGAGAAAATGGCGTCCAGCAAACCTAACAAAGAACTGTTATTGAGTTCCTTACTGCAGAGGGATCTGCACCCATTGGTATTTATAGGTGAATGAAGCTTTTATATGGTGAAGCATGTGTAGATGCAAGTACTGTTCGAAGATGGGCAAAGGAGTTCGCTCTAACCATTCCAGCAGAGACAGATTTGCATGACCAAGCTCATTGTGGTCCTCCCAACTCTGCCAGTGATTTTCAACACCAGGAGAGAGTGGATGAGATCATCCAAGCAAACCGGCGGATCAAAGTAAGAGATGTCAGTGAAATGTTTGGGATTTCTGTAGGGAGTGCTCAGTATATTATCAAAGATGTCTTGGGTTACAGGAAAGTGGCTCCCCACATGTTGTCACCCGAGCTGAAATTGAACAGAAGTCAAGTTAGTGATGAACTCCTGGCTCGTTATACTGATGAAGGTGAAGCTTTCTTACGCCGTATAGTTACAGGAGACGAGACTTGTGTACACCCTTATGACCCAGAGAACAAAAGACAATCGAAAGAATACATGCACACTGGCTCACCTAGCCCCCAAAAGTTAAAAATTGTTTCATCTGCAAAGAAAGTGCTTATGACAGGGTTTTGGGACTGCGATGGTCTAATTCACACAGAATTTTTGGAGCAGGGTTCCATTATCAACTCTGAACGATGTATCGAGACCCTGAGAAAACTTACAGCACGGCTGTCAGGAGTTCGGCGCGAAAAAAAATGCAATTTTGCACCAAGACAACGCCCGTCCACACACGAGTCGACAAACTCAAGATGTCATGAAAAGTCTGAGATTTCAAGAGACCTTACAGCACCCATCATACAGTCCAGATCTTGCTCCGTCTGACTTTTCTCTTCTTCGTAAGTAGAAAGAGTACCTCAAAGGAAAATGTTCTGCAGATGACGATGAAATTCAAGAAGATGTGCGTCGCTGGTTCAGAGGAAAACCACATGAATTTTTCGTCGTCTGCATGCGAAATCTTATGCGACGTTGGCGGATCTGAATCGTCAAAGAAAGCAAATGTTTTGAAAAGTAAAGGTACTGCCATGTAGTAGACAACCGAAGCTTTCATTTGGTGTATTATTTTTGTATGTAGCATCAGTAATAAAGAAGTTATGAACTTGGATTCAAAACTTTTTCTCTTACTTTGCATGAAGATAGATGTAGGTGATGTTTATGTTTGACATACGATATGTTTTAAGAGCTGGGTTTGTTTTTTTAGAGTGCCCTTTACATACTGCTGCTGCTACTACTAATACTTTTACTACTACAACTACTACTACAACTACTACTACAACTACTACAACTACTACTACTACTACTACTACTACTACTCCTACTCCTACTACTCCTACTCCTCCTCCTCCTCCTACTACTACTACTACTACTACTACTACTACTACTACTACTATTACTACTACTACAACTACTACCATTGCTTCTGCTGTTGCCGCTACTCTTGTAAAAACTGGTAAGATAGTTTTCCTGCTCGTTTTAACTTGTAAGTGGATTTTATAAAGGCATACTTTTCTTGCAGAAACAAAAGCAGTATACTTTTCCTTTTCAGATTACAGCCAGTATAACCCAGAGTGTGTAAATGGCGAAAACACGTACATGGTGCCCTTTCCAGATTTGGACGACTGCGTACAGAAACGTTACATCATGTGCTTTAACGGTAAGTTTTCATGTTTCCTGTTCCAGTAGCAATTTGTTCTATTTTACTTTTGGAAATTACATCTTTTTTATTTCTAGAAGCATTTGTGTACGCATCTACGATATGGTTTATTAACAACGACTGTTTGAGGTGACTGAGAATATTAGCCATCTCTATTCACTAACAAACAGTAGGGAATAGTATAATTAACATTCACTAAAAAGCTCAGATAAATGGTGTTATACACTTCCGCCAAAAGAATAACATAACAAAAAAAAAAAACCAAGCCCTTGAGCGAAAATTACCCCTCCCTTCGACATCTAGCGATACACGAGGAAAGATAAAGTAAATTAAGTAGTGAAACTATTTTAGCACTGTATGTTTAAAAAATATATATTATTGCTATTTTTTACATAGCAAGAAGCAGTGTTTCTTTTTGTCTGAAACAAGTAAGAGCTATCTGTATTTAAAATTAAATCCTTGTCTGTAAAATATTATTCTGTCAATCCCATGGATAATTTGGCATCTGTGTAGACTAAATTGTATGTAACATCTTGCAAACTTATGTTTGTCGCCACTCAAGTGTTTCTCTTACTTATGAAGTGCGTTTGTTTGAGGTGAAATATTCATTCTATATTTTACCGCTCATTGTGCACAGAGAGGGCGGTGGATTTACACCAGTGCGCGGACGACTTGGTTTTCAATAGCAAACTGCAATATTGCGACTGGGCCACTGATGATGATAAGAAAAAAATGGCCAGTTGTACTACTGTGAAAAAGACTGTAGAAGGTGAGTAGAAAAGCAAGACAGGTATTCAGCAAATACGTACAACGCTAAAATTGACTTAAGCTACTTTCCCAGACTATATACAAGTATTGCAGTTTATAGCCGTTTGTATTGGACCCGTGTAGCTGAGTCTGCTCGTTGTTGCTTTCCTCAAATCATTTGGTTTTCGTATGTACGAAGTGTATACTTTATAAGTTCATTTTGCACTGAAGCATTGTAAATATACAATAATTGTCTCTATGGAAAAAAGTTGGAAGATATGGCGGGTTTGAACTATCTGCTAAATTGAAAAAGAAGTATTATTGTGTAAGAAATTCAGTTGACGCTCCTGGAATTCGCAAGGTTGGTTATTACCTTCTTTTTGTTTCCACTTAACACCCGCGCATCTGAGCAAATCTTTGAAGTTCCAGATGCAACAATTTCAAGGGACGGAATGTTTAAAAAATGTGTTTGAACTTAATCCTAACGCTGTCTAAAAAGACCGAGAAATGCTTCTATCTGCAAGAAGTTCAATGAAGAATGAATCTGTTTGCTGAAAACATCTACCATTTTCAATTTTTTCCAGCAATCTAAATTGACATCAACTGCTAACTAGTAGCATCAGTGATTATTGTTTATGTAAGATTTTCTTATAAGACTGATACTATTTACAAACATGATATTCTTCTTTAAGCAAGGATTCATAATCTGTTGTATCGTATTATAATCCAATATGTGATTTGTGTTCTTTTTCATAAAATAACTGTTTCTAATCCACAGTGGAGTGTAAAGTTTCTGTCTTCTTTACAAAGGCCAATACGACCACATGCAGATCCTACCAACAATGTGATAACGGAAGACTGCTGACTCAGTTCTGCCCAAGGTAATACCAGAGAGGGTTTACAGTTTTACTGTAAACTCTCTGGTAATACTTCTATTCAGAAGAAGAAGAAGAAGAAGAAGAATGATAAGAATGATAATAACAATAATGATAATAACAATAATGATATACTACTTCTACTGCTACTACTACTACTACTACCACTACTACTACTATTACTACTACTACTACTACTACTACTACTACTACTACTACTACTACTACTACTACTACTACTAC